TAGTTTTTGAGCAATAGCCATTCGTTTTTTAACCTTTTCTCGCAAATATCTCGGAAAATACCCAACCAATTTCAATAATTTTTTCTTTCAAAATGTTCGGCATGATGTCCTCTATCTAAATCACTTAAACATGTATACCCGTTCATACAACGTTTTTGAGATATTTGAATTTTTCTGTTTTTGACTTGAAATCCTTGTTCGCGCTCTAACTTGAGTAAACATTGAGATATCGACTTGAAATTTGGCATGAAGCTGTCTCTGATCATTGCAAGGACCGGTATGGAAGATGGGCTCAATCGGTCAATTAATTTTGGAGATATTCAACTTTGTATGTAAACTTAATGTCTTGAATATCTCAATAACGAGTGAACCGATCTCAATGATTTTTCTTCAAAATATTCGGCTTGTTTTTTTTTATTCTCCTACGCACGATACCGTGAACAAAAACGAAGATAGCAAGCTGAAATTTGGTACGATCATAGCTCTCATAACATGGTTCGACAAAAAAATCCTTGGTATTTGCCCGCAGGATGGAATCAAGTCCACTTTATAGATTTTGATAAGTAGATTCAGGATCTGGCCTTGTTCTGTCTCGTACACGTCTATTTTTTGAAAAAATAAATATTTAAGTTGCCGAAATGGCCAAAAATGCACATCTTTGACATTGAATAATCTGGTGATAAGGAAAAGTTATAATCCAGCAAAAATTGAAAAAAAAAAGAGAAAATCTAATGAACAAACTGGTGTCTTGGAATTTCCATTTGAATGGATGGAAACGGAATTAAAAAAATTTAATGAAAATGAATTTTCGGTACTTTTTAAGGTTATTGAGTGTTTTTTATTTTGTTCGATGTAGTTATCGAATGTCATAATGAATTAGGTTAAAGCAAAATACTTGCTCATGGAACCAATACAAATATTGCAGAATATTAGATTAGGTTTTCATCCCCCTAGTCAAAAATACGGGAGCGTTTCAATTATAAAATAAATCAGTTTTACTTAATTTCAGAAAAGACTGAACGTTAAGTAACATGAAAATCAAATTCATTGCAATGGGAGAGAAAGTACATGAGAGATCTTTATTTGTCAATCACTTTGGATCGCCAGAGTGAAGTTGAATGAAATTTTCTCCATTTCCAAGCGCTCTACATGAGCTTCCAAATAAGACCAAGTTCAACGAATTCTGATTATTCAAGAGACATCAAAGATCGAAAGAGATCCATCTCGTTCTAGCATCCCTTGAGATGAAAATTCGGTTTAGAGAATCAATGGGATTATACAAAAAGGAGTAGGGTTTTGGAATGAACATCTGGACGCAGATCTCCTATGGGTGATATCGCCTTTCTCATTGATTAACTTCCAGCAGTAATCAGAAAGCATGTGTTGGTTGGATGTCCCATGATAACGCGTTTCCATTCTAGAAATATCCTTGTGGAATCGCTCTCTGTATTCATCGCTGACGTCACAAAGATTCTGATAGCAGAAATTGAGATGAGAATCCAAAAAATGAATCTTGAGTGACATGTTGCATCCCATTTTCTTGTATCCCTCCAGCAAATTCTTAACAGAGTCTTCATAGTTGCTTGAGCGATGTTTCCCCAGGAACCCGGAACACACTTCTTTCAAAGACTCCCATACTTCTAGTTCAGTAGGACTGAGAGTTTCATGAAAACGTACATCATTCATGATCTTCCGATTGATTATACAAAAAAACAAACAAACTGAAAAGAAATTGAATTTCGTGAATCATGTTTACTTGGCGTTTTTTAGGAGTAGGGTTTTGGAATAAACATCTGGACGCTGATCTCCTATGAGTGATATCGCTCTTCTCACTGATTAACTTCCAGCAGTAATCAGAAAGCATGTGTTGGTTGGATTTCCCATGATAACGCGTTTCCATTCTAGAGATATCCTTGTGGAATCGCTCTCTGTGTTCATCGCTGACGTCACAAAGATTCTGATGGAAGAAATTGAGATGAGAATCCAAAAAATGAATCTTGAGTGACATATTGCATCCCATTTTTTTGTATCCCTCCAGCAAATTCTTAACAAACTCTTCATAGTTGCTTGAGCGATGTTTTCCCAGGAACCCGGAACACAATTCTTTCAAAGACTTCCATACTTCTAGTTCAGTAGGACTGAGAGCTTCATCAAAACATACATCATTCATGATCTTCCGGATCTGTGGCCCCACGAATACTCCTTCTTTGATTTTGGCATCACTCAGTCTAGGGAATAAATCCTTCAAGTATCCCATTTCTTTATCATTGTTCTCCAATACTTTCACGAAATTTTTCATCAAACCGAGTTTAATGAGGAGTGGAGGTAAATCAATTTTTCCAGGTTGCACGAGAGGTTCATCTGGCCTGCGGAATTCCGTTGGTCTGGAACAAAATCTTTTCGAGCCTCCTCGGTCTTTTGGCAGTAATGTTTCCCCCTTGCTCGACTGTCCCAGAAACATAAAAAACATGGATATTTCGTGGAACCCAATTGCAATTTCATTACAAGAGCTACGACCTTTAGATTAGCACAAATTAGCCAATTATAGCGTTCATATTGGATTTTCTTCAATACCAGTTTAATATTATCGTAGGTCTCTTTCAAACTCGCAGAGTAAGCCACTGGTACTGATGGTTTCTCGTTACCGATATGTAAGAGAACAGCTTTGAAACTTGATGTTGATCCATCCATAAACAGTCTCCATACGGCTGGGTCATGTTTAGTTCCAAGAGCTTCCATGAGTCCATCAACATTACAACAATAGCATAAATCATCCTCTTCGACGAAAAATTCATTAAACTCGTCATCTCGTGTGCGATAACTCATGATACAAACCTCTGGGGTGATGAATCTCCACTCTTCAAATCTAGAGGCCATCAACTCTGCTTTTGATTTCGGTAGGTCCAAGTCCCTGACGAGGTCATCGAGTTGTTCTTGGCTGGAAAGACTGCTGCAGAAGCACAAGAAATGATTTGTTCGGCCTTGGGAGAGAGTGCTGTATCTTATATCACATGTAAAAAGTGGTTTAAAAAAGTTCGGGATAGAAATTTTGATCTCCCGGATGAAGAACGTCCTGGGCAACCAAAAAAAGTTGAGGACGCGGAGTTGGACAAACTACTCAATGAAAATCTCTGTCAAGCACAACAGGAGATTGCTAATACTCTCGGAGTGACTCAATCAGCTATTTCGAGGCGTTCAAAAAGAATTGGGAGGATACAGAAGGAAGGTCGTTGGGTGTCCCATCATCTTACCTCAGCAAACAAAAGTCGACGCTGTGAAATGTCCATGTGCCTACTGACCAGATTCAAACAAAAAGACTTTTCACATAAAATTGTGACTGGGGATGAAAAGTGGATATTTTACGACAATCCTAAGAGGCGAAAATCGTGGGCTTATCCGGGGGACCGTCAACGAGTACTGCAAAATCGAACATTCACGGAAAAAAATTGTGGTGTATTTGGTGGTATTCCAAAGGTGTAATCTATTATGAAATACTCGAACAGGGGTAAACCATCACTGCTAAGCGTTATCAGGACCTACTGGTGAAATTGAGTGACGTTATTGGGAAAAGAGACCTTTTACTGGTAGTGATACGAGATAAGTAATTTTGCTGCAGCGCAACGCACGGCCCCACACAGCAAAAGAAACCCTGAAATTTATCTTCACGTTGGGCTGGGAAATTCTCCTACATGCGGCCTATTCTCCAGAACTTCCGCCTTGAAGGCGCCGCCTTCTGACTATCACCTTTTTCGGGCGCTACAACATCACCTGGTGGATACCTAGTTCCAATCTCCTGAAGAAGTCCGGCAGAGCATTGATGACTTCATCCAGTCAAAACCACCATTTTTTTTCCGAGCCGGAATCCGACAACTGCCCGATAGATGGGAGAAATGCATGCAAAGTGACGGCGGTTATTTTGAAGATTAGATCTGTATTCATTTTTTAATAAATAAATGTCGAAATTGTCGAAAAAAGGCTGAGAATTCAGTCATACACTTAATATATAGTACATAATACATCCCTAAAAATAAACGAAAGAAACGAAGACGAAGATGAAGAGGATTATAACGATTCCGAACAAATCATTCACCAACTAAATTCTCATTGTGAAAAACGTTATCGAAACCATTCATTTTTCCTGCATTAATATTGAGATAAAAATTAATGAAAGTGAGAAACGGTAAGGTATTACTATTCTAGCACCCACGAAAAACAATACGTGCGCGGAGCGCACGCCCTTTTCTAGTAATCTAAAAACAGCATATTCGAAGTCCTGAGATCAAAATTAGTTATCCTGACACAAAAACATGGAAATTTCAAATTTTCCGAATACAATGCTCCCATTTGGAAGCAGAAACCTCTCCATACATAATAGTAACCCTCGCTCCCCCATATTATATATGTATATAAATTTTCTCATACACAAAATTAATTGACTATCAAGTTATTGACATCGAAATGCAGCAATGAAATATCGAGATATCGAGAGAGAATATCGAGTCATAATAAAAGACCGAAACCTCAACCAAAACAAATCAGAATATAACGTGTTTAGTAAAATTGGGCGCCACCAGCATCCCATCACACCAGAATTTCAAAATATGAGTGGAGGGGGAAGGCACCGCCCTTACCAGGAGTAAATATCCCGGTAGTAGCTGTTTCACACATACGTCTTGGCTCGTATCAGAACCGCGATACTTTATCAGGATATAAACTATATATTCTATAAGACGGTCTAGCGTTATGAGGGCTTTATGCTATATTGTCAGATATTTTGGCTACAAGTCGCCCAATCTGGCAACTATGGCTATATGCAAATCATGACTGCTGAAACTTCCATGAAGATTATTGATCACAGAGCAATTAAAATTATACACAAAGTTGTCATACAAGCGTTGTTACGGATACTACCATTTGCAATATATAATCAATGTGAAAGGGTTTTCCAAATAGAATTTTCTGGATCACTATGCGGAGCGATTTTTTGACTAATTCTTTACCGGCAATGATGCTTCCGTCGACCGAGCCAGAACTCCGTATCACAACCCATACATCTATTTACAGCATGATCGGGCACCCACAAAGTGGGAGCTGGTCCAAGCTCCTCCACGGCCTCCCAAGACATGTCAGAAGGCAATGATTCACCGTGATCACCTGCGCTGCCTACGGAATCGGGCAATGAACCCTAAAACAGTGAAAATCGATTAGCGAAAACTATTCTGAATCCACATGAGGTAGGTCACAAATAAAAATACATTCTTCAATCAATTTTTAACATCCATCAACAATTACTTTCTCCAATGGAACCCTAACCATTTTACTGATGATGCTGCAGTCCAATGAGCTAAAAATGTACCTTCACTAGTAGTTACATCTCACGATGCACTTCGATGCTTGGAATTTGATCAATTCACCTCAAAATGGGAAGAAAATTTTTTTACTCACAATTTCATCAATACGATCAGTATCTGCACTGTGATTAGTACAGACTTTTTGTATAAGCGCCAGCCGTGTTGTGTGCAGCTCCTTTCTCAAGGCTTCCTCTTTCACCTATTTCACGCACAAATAAGGAGGAAACCACGAACGAAAATTAGAAAGCCATTCCAAGATTAAGGCACTATTAAATCATATCTTTCTGACCTTGTGTTCAACGATGATTTGTTGGACACGCAATTGAATGTCACAGTGAATTACTGGAAGTCCGTCTACGTCGTCTAAACTGTCAGGACTGTCGAGGCCAAGGTCTTGATGGGTTGGGGATGCTGGACAAATGCTACTCGGAGTCCTTGACATCAATCCAGCACTCGTATCACTGACATCACTACCATCTTGGTTCGAACAATTGCACGAACATTGATTGCGGTTTATTCCATGATTCTCTATCCAAGGAGTTACGTTGCCCTGCAGTGATGTCACTTGTAATCTGAAAAAATCAAAAAATGACTTCGAGAAAAAAAATTATTCTTCATTAACCGAATAATGCATTGTTAAAAAGAAAGTCAAGTTTTCAATACGATGTTCAACATAAAAATATTGTCCTGTTATTAAGGATGTTTATCCAAAATCGCAAGTACTGGAGAAAAAAAAATTTTTTTTTTAACTGAGATAAAAATATTCCCTTTACTTTGATACAAATTTTAAACCACCAACCCATGTTCATTATTTAGAAATGAAATAGACAAAATGCACCAAATGCATGTGCTAACATGCGCTTATATGAGATAGAATCATTCAAATATTTCCTCTTTTTACCCGGGTACCCCAGATTTTTCTCTGGCCACTGGATTCAGTATGATTTTACACATTACCCTCTATTTTTATTTCTATTTTTAGAGTCTTCTAGTAGGTGAATTATCAATTTGAACATAAATTCATTCATTTCTGCCGAGACTATTGCGATTAATTTTTTTTTACGTTATAAAAGTTAGTTTTATATATTCTGCTGTCAGTCGAAAAAATGGCAGAATTTTCCTTGACCATGAAAACAAACACACATTTACCGACAATTTACTGACACTGGCTAAACATCCTTAAGTAATAAAAAAACTTCGAATTTTTTTGGAATTGACAATTGTATTTTTATAATTCATTCTAATGTTCATGTCCTTACGCATGTTTTCCTCCATTAAAGTTTACAAAGGACGGTTCAGTATTTGGTATCAAAGTATCGGTTGAACTATCCACTGATATATTAGCCGGTAAATCATTGGCCACCTGATACACAGGATAAGTCTCTTTATGTGCATCAGCTCGTAATGGTTTCGTGTCTTCTCCACAAATATTCTCGTCTGTGTTTACATCTTCAGTCTTATCTGATTCATTTATGAGATTCATCGAATCAAATTTTCTACAAAAATGAAAACAAAATGTAAAGTGCAACATTAATATAGAAAAATGCAGGAATTGTAATGAATCAATTTCCCCAATGCCATTTAACAAGCCAGTTGCTAATTTCTTCTCAATTTCTCCCTTTTCATTTCATCAGATTATTAACCATTACACCGAACCTCTCTGAAATCGCACGTCTACCATACTCCGCGGTCTGTCAAACCGCTACTTCGTCTGGATCGCATTTCCCATTTGTTTGAGCGAATGAATCACTCTTTTTTGTAACTGAAGGTTCAAATGAGGGCTAAAACGGGGAAAGGTTAAATGATGGAAGGGTTGAACAGAAGAGGCAAAATTTATAAGTATATTTAATTTCATTGTTTTCCTTCGCACATAAATGTTTGTTGTGAACATTTTTTCACAAAAATCTCGACTGTTAATACTCGATTATCGAACAAATAAAGATATGCCATTCATTATGAATAATTGGTGCTAATTATTATTTTTTATCTAACTTCCTCAGGCCCGGTTGCACCAAGCTCGGTTATCCAAATAAACCCCAGGGTAAAATTTATCCTCGGGGTCACAATTTTTCAATATTTGACCCGAAGAATAATTTTTTATTTATCCTGTAGCCCCATTTGAGTTACCACTCATTTAACCTTGGGATTAAATTTTATTTTTTGATCCTGGGATAAATTTAAGATACTCTCCCGGGTAAAATAATCCATCGAAGATCCAAATTTACTTTTTTTCTTATCTGACGTGTTCGTTACCCGGAGCTGGTGCAACCGGGCATTAGGGAATAAATTTCACTTTTAATAAATCCAGTGTAATGATTTTTGAAACCTGTATTCCGCTTATCAAGTAATGTAATATGATGTCGATGTATATGTTTTTATGTACTGTGATCTTTTCTTTACAGTAATGGTAAAAAAAGAGAAATGCATTTCTTACTGTAGTAAAAAAAAATACATATGTAACATAGTATATATGTATATGGGACATTCCATGTCAACTCAGTCACCCTGAATTTTTCGGGTTCTCAGAATCTTGAATTGACATGCTCGCATTCAAGTACTAGATAAGTACATGCTTTCCCTAAATTTTCGTTTCTTTAACATAAATTGCTTGTCTACAACATGTGTGAAAAGCTCAAATTTTTGAAAAATCATATCTCGCGAACAAATTGACGAATTTTAATAAATATAAAACGATTTTTCTCATTTTTTCATGTACTATATGAAAAAAGTATACCAGTACTGCGAGGGCAAGTAATAACCCATTTTGAGAGGTTTGAATGGTTCAAATTCTACTGTTACGCAGGGGCCAGTCGAAAATCAATTAATTCTTTTTTTTCTCGATAGATAATGATAATTCCCAATTTTTTCGGGATATTTTGAAATGTGATATCGATATAGATGAAAAAAAAAAATTTTCCATAAAAAATTATTTTTCGACATTAACGGCTATAATTATGCAAATCACCTATGAAACTCACCACTTACTCCTGTATCATACATTTTTACTCAATAGATAACGTAACTCCATTATCAAATTGAAATAAGTAGAATATAATAGTTTTAATACGACTTAAATTGATGAACATCGATTTCGAGAAAGAAAAAACGACTTAAAAATCTTCGATTTTCATGTCAGATCGCTAGGTATAAGTTAATACTTTCGTCGACTTTTCTTCGGAAAAACTTCTCCACTAGCCGCTGCTATCTTCTAATTAATAATTGTCCATCTTCTCCAGGGATGAAGCAATGATTTTTTTCGATGGCTGCAATGGCCTTCGCACTGTTGAATCTTTGTTTTAAACTGTCCTAGATTAAACTTTGTGTTCTTCTTTACTACAAACAAATACATCAAGATCTTTGAAGTGATCTTTCACCCAGAAAAACAGACCACTAGGTGTGAGGATAGATTCCCCTTGAGTTATTTGCAGACTCCTTCGCCTCGCTCCCCTCTTCAAAATTGCCCCTACTCCATCACATGCCGTTTTACCATGTGCAGTCGCATGATAATGAGCTTCCGCTTCAATTCCAAAATCATCTCTGTGGGACAACAGATTTGCAATTTGGTACCGATTCTTATAATGTTGTGCAGCTCCATCGGTAACATAAATCAATTTTGTCACCACCTCACAGACTTTTCTTATGTGCTCTATGAAAATCTTTTGCATCACGTAAACCGCAGCAGTATCGTGGACAAGACTATCAGATAGAAGGACTAGATTTCGATGGCGAATATCTCTCCCCTGACGATAATAATAGACCATTGAATGTACAGTGCAATGGTCATTATTATAATGAAATGAATGAGCTGCGTCCTGAGAAACGAAGGAATAATTCTCGGAGAAATCACACTGAGCCAGAATCTCTCTTTCAACTAAATTTTCCTGTCGCTCTTTCACATAGGCTGTTTGCTCAGTGGCAATGAAATGATGAAATTTCAACGCTTTCAATCATTCACAAAGTAAATCAATGAATTCACTTGCTGGGAGTTTCTGAGTCTGCAATGTTGCTCTATCCACAGTTTGCCACATTTTGAATTCCAGTTTCAATCATAGCGTAGTTGCAAAGTAATTTTTCTAATTCAAGTGATAGCACATCAACTCCCGGACAGTTTTGGCATTCATCTACATGGCATGCAGGTATTGGATTGGAATACGTGAGCTTCGCGAGACGATCTTCGCAGTTCGTAACAGTAGAAATTGAATCTTCTGTGAGAGTGGAAATATTGATGGCATCCAACATCAATTTGCAATTTTGGTGGTACGTATAGACGCAGACAACGTGCGTACCACTCGTTCCTGCCAATACACAATGTTTCGGTCTCAACTCCGCAAACTTACTGAACCCCACAGGAGATTCCGGATGAGAAGTTTCATATTGTTGATGCAGGTTTGCCAAATTTTCAAGTATCAGCCTTTTCTGCATAATTTTCTTCTCGTCGTTAATTCTAACGGATACTTTATCTTTGATTCCTGGCATAATTCGACTGTTATTCTCGTCAAACGTGTAAACTTTCTCAATAGTTTCATCGGGTAATGATTTTCCTGCTTTCGCGACGGCCGAAGCCAATACTCCTCATTTCTCTCAACTTTTTCGCTCTCTGAGCTATGCGTCTCGTGGCTCCAAATTCTTCACTCACTCTCCGAGTATTCCATGAAAATGGAGCGACTGTCATAATTTGTAGACATTCAGCGTATCCCTCCATACTCTTAAATTTTTCTTTCAGGCCTTTCAACATTTCTTCCAGCTCAACTTTTCGAGGAGAACGTGAATGTTCTACTGTTCTCCTGCTCACTTCATTGTCTGAATCTTCATCTACTGAGAAATCGTCGATTTCCATTGGGTTATCGAAAACTTCATTGAATCCATTATTATTAGGATCAACTGAATGGAAAGGATTACCAGATCTCAATGAACTGTTTGTGATGTTACCGATAGAAATGCCACGAATGGTGTAAGATTTGAAGAGTACCCGGAAGAATCATCGGAGCCCCCAGGCACTGTTGAATCAGATATCGGAGGGAAGGCTTCGATNATTATCCATTGAAAAATAAAAATGAACTCCTCCTATTTTATAACTTCTCCACTGGCACATTACAGACAGACAGATTACATACCTCGATCCAAACTGACGAATAACTGAAGGAGAATAACGATTCAGTCAATTTCTAGAGGAAATTTAACACACTGAAGAGAGAATGAGGGATGATATTGCAGGAGCAAGAATCTCAAGACAACTAATTAGATTCGTACTCATTGTAACCCTTGGAGGTTGTATGGAAACACGATTCCACGAAACTTGTAGTTTTTCAGACCGCTTACCTCCTCCTCCCCCTTTCATCCCCTATGACAGCGAATTATATTGTGTTGATAATTTGTGAAATATCGCAATCCGATTGAAAGTGTACGACAAATACAAGGTCTTCTTTCAAGAACAATCAGACGTTTAATTTTCCTGGCTGCGTGTCGTATCATTTTTCATTTCTTTACGCTCATCAAGGGCGAGAGTTGACGCTGGCTGAGTCAATGATACAGTGGGAAAATTGGACACAGGTGGGATTCGAACCCGACTGAACGAATTGCGAGCTCTTCGCCCTATTGACTGAGCTATTGCAGGCTTTCGATTTCTATGACATCTTCATAACGACTTAAGAATTGATCAACATCGGTATTTCATTGTTAATATCGCTAACATCACTATTAAAAATTTCTGTCTGAAATTTCCGGTGTACTTTCCCGAAATTTTTAGCAAATTCAATTTCTACTGAAATTTCAAGGACTTTACTATGAATAAACTAGGGATTTCACTTGCAATTTCCCCTGAAAGCGGGTGACAAATCAGGAAATTCCGGTAAATATATACATGAATTTTCAGGACATCAGCACTGAATGCGATTTAGAGGGAAAAAATCATGAAATTTCAGATTTCAAAAACAATTCATTGGAATTTCAAATCCATTCAGGAATTTTCGTCTTTGTGGTAGTTAAAATTCTGGAATTTCACTTAATTCTCAGTGAAACCTGAAATTTCATTTTTTTCTCTAACAGAGTAGAGATCTGATGAAAAAATTTATGGATTTAGGATAGCATTCTTCCCCAAACTCAATGGTCATTATTCAAAATAATGTTAAAACAATTATGCTCCTCCTATTTTTAGGCCTGCAACGTGGTTATATCATTGGTTATGTGGATGATTCACCATACGAGTATAAGTGATGAATTGACAATGTGATTTTACTAACTATAGTCGTTCATGTCGAAAAAAAAAAATTTTTTCTCATCTCTATATCGATATCACATTTCAAAATGTCCCGAAAAAATTGGGGATTATTATTATTTATCAAGAAAAAAAGAGAATCAATCGATTTTCGACTGGCCCTTGTGTAACAGTGGAATTGGAAAAATTTAAACCTATGAAAAAGGGTCATTACTCGTCCTCACAGTACTGGCGTATTTTTCGAATAGTACATGAAAAAACGAAAAAAAAACGTTTTTTATTCATTAAAATCCGTCAATTAGTTCGCGAGATATTATTTTTCAAAAATTTGAGGTTTTGACACATGTTGCAGACAAACAATTGATGTTGAAGGAACAAAAATTTACGGAAAGCATGTACTTACGTAATACCTGAGTGTGAGCATGTCAATTCAGGATTCTGAGAACCAAAAAAATTCAGGGTGGCTGAGTTGACATGGAATGTCCCATATACCATATAATATATATACCATATATAGTATATATAATATGCAATATATACTATATATACTATATAAATATATGTTTTATACTGTAATTTTTTTAACAATAAAAAAATGTTACACAGTTCGGTACTGTAAAAAAATCAATATCGTTCTGTACAAAAAATATGTATAGGATAGTATATATGTATACAATACATAATACATCTCTAAACATACAAAAGAACGCAAAAAGCAACAGAGATACGAAGAAGATGAAGAGGATTATGACGATTCCGAATAAATTATTCAACCATTAAATTCTCATCGTGAAAAAATGTTAAAACCAATTTTTCCTGCATTATTATTGAGATAAAAATTAATGAAAGTGAAAAACAGTAAGGTTTTACCATTTTGGCACCCACGGAAAACAATACGCACGCGAATCGCGCGCCCTGTTCTATTAGAAGAAACGTTGGTGGTTTCGTGGATTTATCGGGGCAAAAAAAATCGAAAACGTTTTGTATCGATTGGAACCAATGAAATAGGAAGCTACTGGAAGTTTGAAATTTTTTTCTTACATTTATCAATAGTTATACACTGTGAAAGTTTTGATAGCGGTCCCACAGACCGGGAGTTGAGGATAAAGGTTAAGGTATATCCCTAGAAAACATCTGTTTCTTAAGATTGTCTCCATATTTTTCATAGGTAATGTTTATAATAGTCTCCAACTATTGACGAAAATGCTAACTAACTGTACTACAAAGTTTAGGAGATAATAAATAATGAAATGCGGGCTTTAAACACGCGAGGCATAGGCCAAACGGGGGCCAATGGGTGGTTCCGAACTCGATTTTTCCATCTTATGAGAAAACGGTTCTTACGATGTACTTGAAAAACTAATCCGTAATAGATTGATAAATTCCGTATACGGTGAATTCTTTGGAAAATTTTGTACTACACAATTTCTGTGATATTCAACTCTAAACAATGGAAATTTTGTGAAAGCATTCTTTATTCGATTCGAAAAATTAATTAACAAATAATTTCTTATTTGATTCAAACAGATATTATCACCTGCATCAATAACACATGATAATAGATAAACTCAATAACTTATGAGAATACAAGAAATTCAGTTCTTTAGAATTTTTTCCGAAAATCCATAGGAACTGTCTGGTCCGATTTTCTTGGGATATACCTTAAAAAAGCTAATGGGAAAAAATTACAAAAGTTTATTATTCATGAAATATTTTCAATTAAAAAATCTGTTTACTTTTCAATGGAAATACTCGGATCGCTCAGTCTACGATGAAGAAACGCTACGTGATCCTGAGCATGAATTAAATCCCCATAGGAACGTGTCTTCGTCATTTGCCCCTGGGGTTCTTCGTTTTCACCTGGCTCGATGTCAATAACAGATACTCGTTGTTTGTCCGGCTTGGGCGATATCTCCATAGAACCCAAATATACCTCGGACCAAAGAACAAGGTCACGAACATTGCAACTTGGCCACAATACCTTGAAACAAAGAATCATATTACCTCCTCACAAAAAGAAGATTGATTAAATAACACACATTGATGAGACGAATAAATTTATGGAATATCAAATGATTCAAAATATAGTTTGCAGAGTGGGTAGGGAAAGAGAAATTTTACTAGTATCATTAGAAAATTGGGGAAAGTTGTAATCATCATAAATCGAATTTTCATAGTTAGAACTATTAGAAGAAGAATTAGCAAAGTTGGTAATCTCTTTGACAACAATTGACTGAATTTTTTTTGATTAATTAAACAGTACAATTTCTATTTTTGGATCTGTCTTAGAATAATAAAATTATTATTTTCTAGAAGTATTGCTCAGGAATTACCACATTTTTAGACGGCGAATAAAGATGATTAGCAAAAGAACTTGAACTGAGAAAACGCCAAACAGAGAACGTATGTTCCCTGATCCTCGATTGCAACCTTTCCTGTCTAGTGTTACATAGAAATGTTCCAAATAATTGAGAGTACGTATGTTGTGCAAGTTTCACCTGGAATTGGAAGGAAGGATTAATAAAATTCCTTCCTACATTTGCAAAAAGGAGCAAAGTTATTGAACATTAACGAAAGGGATTATATAAACACTTACAATATACGTCGAAGACATTTGAAAACTGCACTGGAACTGCTTGATAATCTGATGTACACAGTCCAACCACTGTAGAAAAACCGGACACCGTTCATTCGGATCCTCACAACCTACAGTTTGACCGCATCGATCAGCAAATTTGTGTCCGAAGTCTAACCATTCTCTCTCGCAAAGTATTTGAAAACCCTCCATGGTGCGATAATAAGGATCAAGTAATATCTGAGCGAGAGCCACAATTTGTGGTGTGCGATCCCAACCATCACTGCAATGAACAAGAACTGGTCTACCATCGCGTTCGATGGCTGATGCTACTGTGACAGCAGCACGAAGAAGGCCAGACATATGCTGCAGCCACCTCGTGCCTTCCAAAAGGCTCAACCAATTGGGCTGATCAGCGTCTGACGCACAGAGTTGTCTGACTGCATGGAAACTCTTTCTGATTGAATGTATATTTGGTAAATTCATAAATTGTATGTCACAACTTGGGTAATACTCTGGGCATTCGCAACCACCTCCTCGTGCTCTGTTTGCAACAGCTGTTGTGTAAGATCTTGCATCGACAATCAAAACCTTCTTCGTCGTGTTTGGAGTCACGTCGTCACCGGGATCGGAATAATTTATTGGAGATTCGATGGTTGATTCTCCACGATCGTAAGAACACGCGTCTGACAAAGCTTTCAATAGATCTTCGTCTTCAGAACTTCGCCAACCCAACCATCCTACTTCCGGCTGACTACTCCGGGCAATCACTGCACCGTTGTTCACGTGTCTCCAAACCACTGCGGGAATCCTTCGAGAACTCCGAAACTTGGCTACGGCCTCCAAGGTTTCGTCGGTAATGCACGCTGGCACTAGAAGTTGCGGAGGATACGATGGACACATACGGTAGTCTTTGTTTATTTGACTTATGCGCCAACTTCCATGGAGGTTGAATTTCAATCGCTCCAACTGGAATTCCAAAATTCGATGAGATCACCGTTTGGTTCCAGGAGTAATTAATTGACAGAATATTTTATTGGGAATGAATTAGTACAATTAAAGTAATTTACTGTTAACGTGAAAAAAGACAGCTAAAAAATAAATAAGTTATTTTTCGGCAACTGAAGCTCTCCCGTAATTTTATCATCCTTCCAACACCCAGTACTAATAAGATAAAAAAGAAAATTTACTCACTTCTGAATTGAAAATAGCGGTATAAGAATTAGTATCTTTCCCGAGTCTCGGATAATCCTTCCCGTCCTCTATAGACCAGGCATAATAACCGAAGGCAAAAATATCCTCTACACTCTTTCTAGGATAAGTCGTTTTGTGAAGACGCTTAAACCACTCTAAGCAGTGTTCATTTGTTGAAAATGCACAACTGAGAACAAAATACATCCATTAAACATTCATAATGAATTTATCCTCCCTAGAAGACATTTCAGAAATGTAGAAAAAATTTTTTCGTGTCACGGGACATGAAAAACTCCATTTGGCGTTTTTCAAGTCCCTCGACACGAAAATTAATATACACACCTCGCTATGGAAAACATATCACCCTCCCCCACGTACTCGCCATTCTCGCCTTCGGCTCGAAAGGCAATCTTGCAAGCGGGGGACGGTGATCTGCTTTCCAAGGCTCGGGCATGTAATGTGCTATTTCTATTGATAGTACCTTACTGAACGAGCGTCTTTGCATCCTATATGAAGGTAAAATATCTCCTTGACTTCTAGCTGTTCAATAAGACCAAGCGGGATATTATAACAAGTCTGACTAAGTTGTAGGTAAAGTCTATAGTTTGATAATGCTAAAATTCCATCAGAAGTACGTCCAAGTGCAACAACACTCTCTCCACTCAGAGGAGTAAATGGTACTGGCAATGATGGATCTTCAGTTTCAAAACGAGCGTGCTTTGGAAAAAGTTCAGATGCATGTAAGTGACAGATTGATTGGAGACTCGTCGGCTCCTCGGAACTCTCCATCACGATCTGAAAAAGCCAATTGAACATTCTTTTTCTTTATCGGCTAGTTAGATCCGAACTAAATTTCCATAGTTAAAGGATCTCTATCGCTTTTACTGACACGACAGTATCATTAATAAATATCAAAGAACATGTCCATTATCCATGAGAACCGTAAATAGTGAATCATCATCGGGTAAAATTATCGGTTTCAATAAATTTCCAAATCATATGTCTATACTTTGAGTTATGTGCTCCTTCTGAGAAAGTTGGATTTGCCCATTTTTTTACGTAGTAACAAGACGTTCGGAATTGTTATTACCCCTCCCATGTTCTTTATATTAAACAATTTAACACGCCACACAAAACTCTTCAGTCATCAAATAAAGATAAGTCAAAGCAGACATCTGCAATTAGATCACCCACGACGACACATCTATCGGGCATCCGAAGAAAACATTGACAAGGAAAAATAACAATATCAAGTTCAATTATTTTTACTCACAAACGTTTCCAATCAAAAAATGAACCGAAACCACAAGAGTTCAACTTCAAAAATACTATGTCGTCTTCTTGACATCTACTGAGGCCCGTGAGAAAGATATAGAAACACAAGAAATGCGAAAATTCCAAAGTAGTAGTGAAACGTCGATTGCTAAGGCTGTCCTTCGCTTCTCAAGGAGAAACGCGTGAGTGCAAAAGAGTTGAACGGTCTTGGTTCGTAAAGACGAATGTACACGAGCACGAAATGATGAAAAAAGAAGTCCCTAACCCCCTGCAACACTCACAAATATGGTCAACGATCGAATGAAATTACTGTTACAAAGAAAATTGAGAAAATTTCCAGGAATTTGCAGGTGACAAACATGACATTGCCTCATTGCCATTATTGACCCACTACACTGAAAAATGCAATAGACACAGACACATTACGTATCAATCAGAAAAAATGCACTCACACTGATACTGAATGACGTCGCCAGACAAGATAGCAAAAACGTAAAAACCAATCCAAATGAAAATATTCGTCTGTTCTTGATAGTCTTCTCTAATAACTTTACACTTTTACACAATGTCCATGAACACCATAAATAATCCACGCTTACTGAACATTTCAATCACAAAGTTTGTCTGAAAAAATTGATTACTTTTGCGAGCACACATTTATCTGGGTATAACTTGACTTGAAACACGTAGATCCACTGAGTAGCAAAAACCTAGCACACTCGAAATTTTCCAAACGAGTATTACTTGATTATTCAGATCAGATTTCACTGCGAATTTTTGAAAAATGGATGATTTCACTCATTTTTCTGTTATGGAAATAATTCTCCGACTAGAATGTTCACATGTCACTTCTTTTATCGGTATTAGATAAATATTTTGAAATTACGTTTCGAGGATCATTAAAATCAATGCAAATGACTCGCTCGAGCCCTCTCCGTTATCACCGTCTTTTTTTTTTTTTAAATCATTCCCTCAAGTCACTTCGGACAGACCATAAATAAAACAAAATATTTGACTAATACATGCATATACGTAATTTCTTGTTTTTTACTAGACCCAGGGATTTAGAATACGATACGAGAGAGAAACAACACCTTTGCTCGTGAATGCTAGTCACGAGCGAAGGAGACACACGGACTCAAAGAGGATTGACTAAAGTAGAGGCTCCGATCTCGGGGTTGGACCGACCCCAAGCCAAAAGTAGTTCGACCCCAACGGAGGGATGCCGCCACGGTCGAATCTGACGGCTGGGCGAACTGCCTGTGCGGAAACTCGGCAGTAGCAGTCCCGCTGTCACAGAGATAGTTTCGGAGGGGAAATTACGTCCTTCTCGTCCTCAACATGTTAATGTTTAAGGACGAACTTAATGTTTTTCAGGTGATTCATTTGCTGGCTAATTAATATTAAGGAATGAAACATAGAGGGTGTGACAGAGAATTAAATTCCCCATCAATCGATCCCCGTTGCATCCCTTAATCTCTGTAACAAAAAAATACAAACTACGACAAAGTCATGGATTTTTAATTCGCGAGCGAATGGTGAAGAGTTACTGTGCGCCGAGAAGAAAATTATTTTTCTCACTGGCCCATGACTTTGTCGTAGTTTGTATTTTTTTGTTACAGAGATTAAGGGATGCAACGGGGATCGATTGATGGGGAATTTAATTCTCCGTCACACCCTCTGTGTTTCATTCCTTAATAGTAATTAGCCAGCAAATGAATCATCTGAAAAACATTAAGAACATGTTGAGGACGAGGAGAGCATAAATTCACCTCCAAAACCATCCCTGTGACAGCGGGACTGCTACCAGAGATTATAGGGGAGATGAACAGGGCCAATGTAAAGTGTTCAACAACAAAAATTGTAGCGGTGGCGCATGGACCACGATGGAGCGTACGGAACTGTTGGTATGATAGGGCCCGAGCATAAATTTGTCGATAACCGGAAAGGGGTTCTCAATACGGTAGCTCCTCGCATTTTGTAATAATTGTCAGGAATGTAAAATCGAACATATTATAATCAATAGTATAATGAATGCACAATCTAATGATCTAAAAGTCTTTTCCTTTTTCTCGACATATTTATCATTGACACGTAGGTCAAAAAATTCATAGAAAATCCCAGCGCTGTCGCTGGAAAACTCTATNCGCCTTTTTCTCGACATATTTATCATTGACACGTAGGTCAAAAAATTCATA